GGGCCTGGGAAGGCCCCTGCGGGGGCTGCTAGGAGGAGCCGCCGCCACGGCCCATCCTTGCCACTGCCCGCGTCGCCTGCTCAGGAATGCGGGCCGGGTCGCTCAGAATGGAGGTAGAAGCGCTCAGCTGCCGCAGGGAGCTCAGGACGGCTGCGAAGAGACAGGGGATGTGACAGCTGCTCCCATGGCCTGGGGGCTGGAAGGAGCCTGGGTTAACACATCCTGGGGGAGGTGGCTCTTCTCATCCCGCTCCAGCCCCTGCAGTGCTATGACACCTCTCTGCTGCAGCTCCCGGCAGCAAGGGTGAAGGGAGGCCCACCCTGAGCAAAGGGAAAACCACCCCATGGGGCTTTGGGTTGCTGAGCCCTGCCCAGCCAGGACACAGGCTCTGGGGTTAGCGCAGCAGTAGCCAGCTCAGCTGGAGTGCAGGTGTGAAAGGAGCGTGGAAAAGCATCAAGGACACAGTACCAGGACTTCCCTGCAGACTTCCCTCCCGTGAGGCAGAAGCATGGTGCAGTGCCAGCCCCACCATCCCCCAGGGTGCCCCTGTCCTTTTCCCCTCTGCTTTCCCATGTCAGTGTGTGCCAGCCCAGCTTCTGGAGGGTGCCGCAGCCAGGTGCAGGGGCCACCTACTTGGCCGAAGCGCTGGGAGGGAGCAGTGCTGGTCCAGCCAGGCAAGAGAAGTCTGGGTGAGGCTCTCCATGCTGGCTGTGGAGACCATGCCGTTGAAGGACTCGAAGAGGGGCCGGATGATGATACTGAACTGATGGTAGCAGAAGAGTTAAGGACCAGCTTTGCCAAGACCGTGGTCTCCCGCCTGCCCAGTGCAGGCAGAACACTCCTGCAGGCAGCAGGACAAACCTTCCTGCCCGGCCATGGAGGGGACCTGCTGGGTGCCTTCCTCAGCACAGCACCACACTGAGCACCAGCCCGGGCTGTGGAGGTCATGAGGACCCTAGCGTCACTGGGGGCAGGCAGTGGGAGAGCTGTGTAATCCCCGTCATGGCTGAGGCTGCCAGAAACCATTGTTCAGATGCAGGACAACTCTTCCAGAGAAGAACAAGGAGCCAGCTACCGCAGTGTCTTCTGAAATGCCCAGGAACAGGGCACAACACCACCGTGTCCACCGTGCTCCCGTGCTGCTCCCAGCCTGCAGGAACCATTGCTGGGCACTGGTGATTTTGTGCATGCAGTAATCCACAGCAGATACCTCCACCACAGGCAGGTCCTGGAGCCTGTATTGGCTTTAGTATGCCTAGTTAGTGTCCTGTGGAAGGGCCTCCACAGTGCTCCCCAACTCTGCGTCAGGAGCCACCTCTGACTGCCCAGGCTGCCTACACCGGATTGGACTGTGAGCAGCAATGTCTGCCCATCCCTCTGCCACCAGGGGTTTTGTAGACCTCACAGCTGCTGCAGGCTTAACGATCCCAGTGTGTCTCATCTCTGCTCATGGAGAAGCAGGTCCAGTCCTTTGACCACCTCTCTGGCCCTTGGCTCCCTCCATCCTTTCCACCCAGGCATGGGCCACCAAGAACAAGCCATCATGTCCTCAGCTTTGTGTCTGGACCTTTCTTAATCCCTGGTTGATGGCTGCTGCCTCTCAGAGCCAGTTCCCATGTCACCAGGAGCATGAGCTCAGCTCTGCCAGTGACTTTCTCCCTGTGGTCCCCAGAGCCTCTAGAGCCAGAGGGACCCCACAGACCCAGGAGCAGTGGATGAACCAGAGGACCTGGTGTTTGGTGGAGGCGTCAGCAGAAGGCACTGGCCTCGAAGGATACGATCCAGAACTTCCAGTTCTGCAGTGTGGAGGAGCGGACGTACTCGTCGAACATGCTGCGCATCTGGTCGAAGCGCTGGCGCGTGATGGGCACCCCCGTGGCTGGCAGCTGCTCCTGGCACAGGCTGTGGGGCACAAGCAGTGCTGTGGGGGTGTGGGCAGGAGACTGGGAGCCATGGGGTCCATCCCATGGGGAGAGGCTCTGGCTGGACCTCAGCTCGCAGCAGGGGCAGGAAGGCAGTGGTCCCCTCTCAGGGCAGCTGTGGGGCATGGCCCCACACTCTGGTCCCACACAGCACTGCCTCTTGAGCATCATCTCTCCTCAAGAGGATTTGAGGGGGGACAGAGGCATATACAGGTCCTAGGAGGTGCTCAGGAGGCCTGCTGTGTCCTGCTCCCTCCCTGGTCCTGCCACGTGCCTTGCCTGGCTACCCCGATGCAGGCAGTGGCTCCCTTCCACCTCTCCCAGCTGTGCCCCCTCACTTGATGGAGCCATTGAGCTCCTTGATCTGCTCCCGCAGCTGCTGTGCCTCATCCTGCAGGGCTGCCCGCTCCTGCTGCAGCTTGCAGATGTACTCGGCTGTCTTCTGCAAGGTGGTGGCCTTGCTGACCTGCGGGGCCACAAGATGAGACAGTGAAGGGAGTCCCTGGGGTGGGCAGGGCATGGGGCACATTGTGCAGCACCATGTTCCCTGCTTCTGAGTCTCGGCAGCTTCTGTCGTAGGCTCCAGAGCCCAGACCACCCTCGCCGGTCTCCATGTGCCTAGTGTGGGCTCGCAGCCTCCTGCCCCACAAGCTGGGGGGAGCAGGGACACAACATCCCCAGGTGACATCCCATGTCCCTGTGTGCCCGGGGCTGGCTGGTCTGTGCAGCCCTGGGCACTCACCTTGATGCTGGGCTGGGTGCTCAGCGTGCTCACCAGGCTGTGCAGCGTGTCAAAGCCCAGCTTGATGTTGAAGCGTCTTTTCTGCTCGGCAGAGATGTGTGTGATGCGGCGGCTCTCCATCTGTGGGTGAGTGCCGTCAGGCACCTCCTGGCAGTGGGGACAGCCCTGGGCCACGAGCCCCATTGGGAGTGGGCTTGCCCAAAGCTTGTGGTGAGGGTTGGTGGGGGAAAGATTGGGGGGCAGGAGGAAAGAGGGTGCATGTGGAGGTGGTGCCCCCATAGCGAAGGCAGTGCTTGTGCCTGCCGTACCTTGCTGGACTCAGGCCTGCCCCGACGGGACATGGGGTGCTGCAGGGAGATGCCAGCGCCCAGCCCTGCAGTGGGTCCTGGGGAGGCCTGGCCAGGATTGGGCCAATCGCTGCCTGGAAAAGGAAAGGTGATGCTGTGGGAAGAGGGGCGGCAGCAGCAGCAGCCCCCCACAACAGGCTGGCACCACGGTCCTGCGCTGGGACAGGCAGAGGGGAGCAGCCTGCAGTGTTACTCTGGCCCTGGGACAGCAACCCTGCTCAGCAACGGGGCTGCTCCAGTCCAGCATCCAACCCTGTCTTATCACTTTGTCTTATCCCAAATTCCACTCATGTTACAACTGCTCAGAAATGAGAGCATCTGGGACGTGACATTTCTTGGGGTGGAAATCACCAGGAAAGAGTCCCAGGGGCTGCAAGGCTGCACTATGCAGCACCAAACTGGAACTTGGAATGACATCAGAGTCTGGTTTCTCGGTGCCGCTCTGGTTTCTGTGGGTGAAAGCAGGGTGTTTCTCACTCAAAAACCAAGCTCTGGCTTTTCAAAACCACAGTCCAACATTTTTCTCCTTTTTGTCTTATCCTATTTCTGCTTTTGCCCTGTAGAAGGAGGCAGCTGAAGGGGCTGTGCCCTTCCCTGCCGAAGGAAATCATCCATGCTCAGCTGGGTCAATGTGAATAGGGGGGATTGGAACCAAAATGAAACATTCCCACAATGTTTGGTCCAAGCTCCCTGCAGGAAACACATGGTCCTGTGGAGCTCCTTGGGGTGCCCCAGACTCACCGCATGCTGAGGTGGGGGACAGCCGCTCTGCCTTGGGGGCTAGCAGCGAGCCTGGCTGGGTGCCCTGAGCCAGTCCTGGGCTCAGCTGGGTCATTCTGGGGAGGAAGGTGGCAGGAACTTCGGGCACAGCACTCTGCTGCTGGGAGAAAGCAGAGGGAAGTGGGACGTTGTGGGAGCAGTGCCCCACGCACGCCAGGGAGAAGACCTTTCACTTTGGTCAGTCAGTGCCCAGGCACTGGTGGCCAAATGCCCACAGGGGGACTGGGAAGGGGGACATCCAGCCCCATCCACCATCTGCAGGGGCAGCCCCAGCCCCATCACCCCAGGGCAGCATCTCCAGGACAGGGGCCACGTTTCTCACCTCTGCCCTGTTTCTTTTACAGGAGAAAACACTCAGGTGACTCTTGCCTCTCTGGGACCCCAGCCACACACCCCCTCCTTCACCCCATGCCTGTCCAGCCCCATATTGTAAGGGTGACCCCACAGAACCCCATCTGCCCCCCTGCCACATCTCTACCCCCACCCCAGCAACCAAGAGGGGACAACTTCTGGCTATGGGGGACCAATTCCCAACCTGGAGAGTGAGTGCTTACCGGGGAGACAGGGGACGCAGGCATGAGTCCTGCACCCATCGGACATGGGGCACCCAGGGCCAGCTCATTCTTGTCTGCAAGAGGGCAGGGAGCAGAAGGGCACTGGTGCATGAGAGTGCTGGGGCTGGGGTGGCCGCTCCTGCCCCACGGGATGAAAAAAACTGCAGCCCCAGAGAAGGGCGAAGCACCCCTGGAGAGAGGTGCCCCCACAGTGGGGGTGTTCTGGGGAGCCTTGGTGCAGGCAGAGACCCCTCAGCCCTCCCCAGCCAAGCACAGGGCTGGTCATGACAGCCTCTGTTGGACCTGTCCCATTGCATGCATGGGCAGGAGGTCAGGCAGGACACCGGCGACTCCTCAGCCCATCAATGCCGATAGGGCCATGGAGACCAGGCTGGGGACACAGGGACTGTGCAGTGGTGCCCACGGCCAAGTCCTGGGGCCGCCTGGGCCCCATCTCCCTCTCAAGGCTGCTGGAGCTGTGGGGACACCCCCAGACATGGCTTCACCCCTGGGTTTGGT